TAACACTCCTAAAAAGCTCGTTACACTGGCAGGAGGACAGCTTTTATCTAAGGACTATTCAATCCCACTATATTCTTAAACCTTTCCTAAAGTAAAATAAGCCATATGAGCATTCTCGGGTCTCTCAACACCTGCAAAATCATCCAGATGATTGAGAATACAAATACCAAAATTATATAAAATAAATGCTAAAGCATTAGTTACCCTTTGACAAATAGCAGCAGCACTGCTTAAACCCATTGATAAAACTGTATCACAAAAAATATGCTTATCCAAAACAAAGGATACTAGATTGTATTGTGAAGGATATATGCTTATTTGTCTATAAGCACGTCTTAAATTTTTTTTAAACATTAAACATCCTTGACCTTTGGCTAAAATAAGTTTAATAAAATCATCAATCTTTGGATATACTAAAGAAATAGAACTAAATATACATCTTTGTCAATGTATTCATTCACAGCATTGGAAGTAGAACTACTGAGATCCAAAATAACCCTTCTCTTTGAAACAACAGAATTTAAGGGTGAAATCAAAAGATTATCATCAAACGAGTTATTTTTAAAAGGACCAATGACAGCTGCATGGCTTAATTCCTTGACCAAATATTTTTCAATTTCAGCAGGAAATTCGGTAGCTCCTTTATAGTTCTAATAATGTGATACATTTTAAGTTGGCTTTAACACATGTTCATCACCCTGGAGACCCAAAGGAAATCCAAACTCTAAAAAGTCACAAACAAGTAAATCTTTGAAATCAAAGTGCTTCAGACAAGTACGCAAATAAACAGTATTGATCCTGTCGTTTATTCTAATACGACAACTCTATGAATTCTAACCTTATGTAAAGATTGAGAAACACTAGGGTCCTTTTTTATTTCCATACAAAGTGAACATTTATTTGTATGATTACAAATATGTGACTCTAGCGGAATTTCTACCTTACTTATTTGACTTGAATGTGAATTCTTCTGATATTCTAACAATCTTGGAGATTTATTAGAACAAAGAAATTTTGGTTAAAAGATATCTTCTAACTTATTTTCATCCACAAAATTAGAATTTAAATTACATTGTCATGCTAAAGTGTGTGGACAGGAAGAAGAGCTTTCAGGATGTTGAAGTTTAACCTTATCTCTAATCCAACATGTGGCACAAATATGCTGAGCCATCAACATTTTTCCCCGAACAACAATCATGTGATTATCTTTTTGTTCGCATTTATTTCTTTGATATGCAGAACAAAACCATACTGGAGAACTGTCTGTGTCAGCAAATGGTTTGGAATATTGAGACGAAGAATATTTTTTGGGTTTGGCGCCCTGCTGCAAAGAACTCTTACTAGAAGAGTTATTGGAATTAAATATTACTAATTATAAATAAATGAAATCATCATGCCAAGATTTAGAACCTAGTTCAATTTCCCTAAGGACAGCTGCGTAGTATGATTTTAATAGTTTAAAATCATGAGATGTATTCAAAAACATAATTCTTTTTAAAAGAGCTAACCTTCCGGTTTGCTCCGAAACCTTTGTTTTGGGGTCCGAAATTATCTCTAATTCCCAGCGACGAACAAGTTTAGATCTAAATTTTGAAAAGAAATATCATGACTAACAAATTCATATCGTAATTTTGAATGCGGATAACGCTCCTTGTATCTAATTTGTCAGAAGATTTCTGAACAATACCCGACTTTTTACAAGATTTTTTTTGCTTATTTACAAGTTTTTTTCTTTTTATAACTTGACTCTCCAACAGATTGTTCTTCTCTATCCGAACTAGATTCTACATCATTACTTGATGACGAAATGTCCGAATCACTGCTGTCATCCAAACATACTTTAGATTCACTGGAACTGAAGTGACCAATTTTTTTGGATTCCTTTTTTGCTTCCTACTTGAGCTTTTTTAAGCCTCTCAAATCTTTTATTGTCAAATCTGACGATGAAAATTTATCTAAAAGTTCTGAATTTTTGACTGAATGTTTTGCTTTACTTTTAAGGCCTTGACCTCTGCCTTTTTCTTTTTCAATTTTATGCGGAGCTCTTCCTTTTCCTGCTGGTTCCTTAGCTGAATTTCTTCTTTCTCTAACTGTTCTAGTTCAGCCTTCATCTGCAACATACCGTCGCCCTCGCTGACAATTTCTTCTACAAACAACAAGGAGGAAATGGACGAGGACTTTTTCTCAACTTTCACCAGTTTCTGAGTTTGTGAATTTTCCGGCTCTGGATCCAAATCTGCGTCCCCTTCGTGCATTTTTCGGTAATTTGGCCTGTTTCCTTTAAGCAAATTTGACATATTGGAAATACTCTGGCTGCATACAAATTCTTCTCAAAATGAAGTAAATACCAAAATGTTCACCAAAACTCGATTCTTCTCAGCAATGAAAAACTTTGGCAACAATTCTGCTCTGCTGCATTCAACAGTTCAACAGTTCACAATACAATAAAATGTTCGTTACCCTCCTAGCCAAAAGGCTATGAAAGTTTGATCGAAAAGTTCTTTAGCTTTTACATTTCAAACGAATACATCATCTTGTATAATTGATAATTCAATTCTTCTTGTTACAAACTACTGCAAAAATGTTGTTCAAACAGTGACGCTTACAAACAAAAAATCAAGAAGTGGCGCGAATTACTGGCAGAGTCGTTAAATAAACTACTACAACCAATCAAAAAACGAGAATGACTATCCAATAAGAAAGCTGTGTTAAATATTAGGCTAGAAGAAAATACTGACGAATACAGAACAGAGAAGCTGTCGTCAATAATCAAATATTTTAAATATATTTAAAATAGTCCCATAAAAGGTGTATTCAGTGGTAGAGGAAAAATTTACTATCACTCACCAAAACATGACAAGTTGCGGCGTGACAGACTGGTTGACGCGTCTGACTAGTAATTTGCGGATTGCTGGCCGCGTGTGACCAAAGCCCCTCCGGGCCAAGCCGTTCTTACATTGAGCAAAAATATAAATTGATTTGCTTAGTATTGACTGATTCCAGGAACGGATTCGAGAGTCTTTCAATAAGTTTACAGCTTCCAACGTAATCGAACTAAAATGAATTCGTATAAACTATAAACTAACATGACAAGGCAGTTACAATGCCTTTTTTCTTTATGCATGCGTGTTTACTCGTACAATGACGTTACGCGCAATGTTGGATCTAATAAGCGTGACGTTGATAGTACTAGATGGCCTGGCTCTGGAGAAAATATACATTATATTATTCCAATCGAGTACAATTTACTGCAAAGAATAAATATATGAATTGTATACAGCATACAGACGTTTGAAAAGAAAATGTGCCATATAGTAACGAGTAAATGAATTGCACAATAAGATTTATCAAAATAATGCACACGACTTTGCGTATGAAAAGAACACGCGACACTCTTTTGTATTACTATTATTTAAAAAGCAAGAGGGCCATGATGGCCCTGAAATCGCTCACGTGTATATAGGCCTCCTGGGAGGGACCAATTTTAACACAGGGGCTTTTATTTGAACAAACTTGGTAGACACCCATGAGAAGATCTTTCATGATAAATACCGGTATCTAAGCTCTAGCTCTTTGCAGTTTTATAAGAAAATTTTATATATAGGGGAAAACAATGACCCCCCGTTCTGAGGGCCAATGTTGATCCCATGTCTTTTATTTGAACAAACTTGGTAGACAGTCACGTGAAGACATTTCATGCTTAGTATCTAAACTCTAGCTCTTTGGGTTTTTATAAAAATATTTTTAAGTTTTTACTATAATACACATATAAGGAAAAAATTGACCCCCGGGGCGGGGCCAATTTTAACCCAAGGGCCCTTATTTAAACAAACTTGGTAGACACCCATTAGAAGATTTTTCATGCTTATTAACTTAGCTCTAGCTATTTGTTTTTTTTTTAAAAGAAATTTTTTTAAAGATTTTACCTTATACAAATAAGGAAAATCAATGACCCCCGGGGCGGGGCCAATTTTAATCCCAGGGCATATATTTGAACAAACTTGGTAGACACTGACTACATGATGTTTCATGCCAAATATTTAAGCTCTAGCTCTTTTGGTTTTCTAAAAGAAGACATTTAAAGTTTTTGCTTTCGGTTGCCATGGCAACCAGAGTTCTTCTTGAAATTAAATTTTTTGAACGAATTTTTAAAGTTGATGCCAAAGGAACATTCCTGTGAAGTTTGGATGAAATTGACTCTGCGGTTCATGAGGAGATGTCGTTTAAAGTAAAAGTTTACGGACCGACGGACGGACGACGGACGGACGCCGGACGAAAAGCGGTCACAAAATCTTACCATGTCACTTTGTGACAGGTGAGGTAAAAACAACACATATTATGCAAGCTCTATGTCAAAAGATATGTAATTATTTATATATAATTGCAAATTAGGAAACAACTTCCTTTGACCTGTTCATTTACATTAAATTATGTTCCCTAACCTAAGCAACGCATTGACCTTTACTTCAAGATTAAACGGCAAAACATTCGACCGATGAGCAGGAGAGTACATACATTTCTTTATGCTATTTATTTGGCACACAATTTATGTGTGCTTGCACACAATTACGACCCTTCTCGACCACGTTTTCGTAACATCTTTGTCAGAAAACATGAACAGAAACCACTTACTCGCTAAATCGCGACATACACATAACTAGAAACAACGAAAACACGAAAATACTATATGGTGACTACACGAAATTATATAGCTTTCACAATTGTAGTTTCGTTCTTTCGACTTTTCACCACCGTATTTTCGACTTTTCACTATCGTGACATCGTTATTTTGATTTATCACTATTGTATTTTCGCGTTTTTGTTGTTTCGAGTTATTTTTTGCGATGACCCTAATAGGACACCGTACTAATTAGCTTTAATTGTCTTGTCTGGCTTTGGGTCAGGCTAAGATCATTCACCGTTTTTAGGGAAAAGTTCATAAAAGTATTAAGATTTATCTGATTGAGAAGTGATTAGTGAATAACTTTTAACATTTTCAGAAGGAAGAAGTAAAATTGAGTCCAGAAGATGTTTTGAAGGCAAAAGCTATTGTTGGTCATATTGACATGGAATGTCCGTCACAAGCAAAAATTGTCCGTATCTTTACCAGCAGCACATTTACAGGTCTTTATTTTTTGTCATAGTTTTTTGAAGATTTTTGTATAAAAGATATGTTTTACAATTTAATTGCTTTTTGGGGTATAAGATTACTTAATCTTTATTTTCACCACTATGTTTTAAGACATAAGTTGTTCTTCCATCTTATACTGAAATAATCAAAATATTTATCTCAACTCTATAAATATAGACACATATGCGCTTCCGTACTGTACATTTTTTTTAAACTGAACAGTGCAAAATTGACACAGTACAAAAACTTTAGTTTGCAGTCTGTCATATTAACGATATTAACTGTTTTTTTGAAGCAAGAAGTATATTTTGTAAAATTTGTTTTAGATACAAAACAAGAGAGAAACATGTTGATGAAGTTTGCCTACCCCAAACTAAAGGAGTATTGCCGGAAAATAGGTTACGAGTTCCAAGTGGTAGACATGAGGTGGGGGATCCGAGACGAGGCTACTGACGATCACATGACAACGGAACTTTGCCTCAAAGAGTTGAAACTGTGCCAGAAACTCTCAACCGGACCAAACTTTGTTGTAAGCGCTTTCATTTTTTACAAAAATGAATAATAACAACAAACCAAAACAAACAAAAATAATAAAAAAAATAAATTAAATTAAAAAACAACAGCAATTACTAATTCTTAACAAAAACAACGACAATAACACCACCACCGACAACAAACAAAATACAACAAACAAAACAAACAAACAAA